GCGGCTGGTTCGCAACGACGCGAGCACGGCGCGGTCGCCACCGGCACCATTAGGAGCCGAACGACACTATGGTCTACATCATCATCACCTATGCCAAGCACTGCCTCAAAGGCGATGGCATGGGCCCAGCTGCTGTAGAGATTTCTGCCAGCAGCCGATCAGATGGATGAGGGGTGAGCCACCATCCAAAGCCTAATTGGTTTCATCGAGGTGGAAGGATCACAGCAAGCTGGCCCACCACGGCCTCCCCAGGTGACGTCAATGGCTCATGCGGTACGAAAGGGGCCGCCCCCATGGTGCAGTCCCCACCCCGGCAAGCAGCACGGGAGCCACGTAACCAAGAGCCCAATGACCTCTCGATGGCCTCTTCCGACCCTCGAGCATGCCAAGGCCAACGGCTAGCCCTAGAGGACAGGCAGAGGGAAGGCGCGCGCGTCATCATTGAGCAGCGCTGCAACAACCACTTCCAGCCCGATGGGTGCGACGGCCCCGACGTCGACGAGCCCGCGCTCGGAGATGGCGGGTACCTTCCTTTTGAGGTTGGGCGTCCTGCCTTCACCCATGAGCTGCGGCAAGTCCGTTGGTTGTCCGCTCGCACGTTCAAGTGAGAGATACCCCAGAAGAATGATGGGAGACTGAACCCGACAGAGTTCTTGAGCATCCACACTATCGCTGTTCAGGCTGCAGGTGGAAGAGATGTGAATGTGTTCACCAACTACTTCTCTTTAGCACTCAAGTCAAATGTGAGGTCCTGGCTGATGCACCTGCGGGAGAACTCCATTTCAACCTGGGCTGACCTGTGCCATGAGTTCATTGGCGTCCTCATGGGCAGCCATCAAGAACCAGGACGGGCCAAGATTTGCAGCTTCTTCAGCAGAAAGAAGGAGAGATTTTGTGAAAATACTTACAGAGATGCAGCCGAGTCCACGGAAATACCCCAGACATCCACCCGGCAGCTATGATAGTTGCCTTCCAATCCAACATGCACAACTGCAGGATACATTCTAAGATGAATGTTCGGTTGCCCAAGACCGTGAAGGAGCTGTATACCTTGGTGGACAAGTGTGCTCGGGACGAGGAGGGAAGGAAACTCCCTGGAGAGGAAGATTGCATTGACATCAACTCAGAGGATGACGATGATACCACTAATCAGGAGAAGAAGAACAAGCAGTGCAACAAGAAATGCAAGGATAAGTTAGTGTTCAAAGTTGAGAGATCGGGCACGCCTAGTACCGACAAGTGGGCTAAATCCGAAGCCCCCGTCAAGGAAGCTGGCAAGTGCGCTGACTGTCTGGAGGGTGCAGCTGCCAAGAAAGCTGGGAAAGGTGATGGACCATTCTACAAGATACATCGGACCAAGGGCCATGATCTCCAGGAGTGTCATCAGGTTGAGCAGCTCGTCAAGAAGCAGAGGGCTGAGTATGAGAAGCATGACAAGGGAAAAGGTCAGAATGGTACAGGCGGAAACGGCCGGGGCGGTGAAGCAAATCGCCCCAGCAAGGCTCTTCGGAACCAAGGGAAACCTGCTAGGGGCCGAGTGAAGGAGGATTGCAATCATAAAAGTGATGGAGGGAATGAAGAGGGAAACTAGTGAGAAGGAATTCCAGAAGGCTACTGACGCCCTGTGCATTAATGGGGGTGCATCTTTGCACTCCTCTCACCGCCAACTTAAATAGGGTGCTTGCCGTTGTTGGTCTCACCAACGATCCGCAACCTCAAAGTCACAAAGATGTTGGTTACCGGAGGGGCCGGGTTGAATATGATTTCCCCACAAGTTATCAGCAAACTCCAGATAGCAGAGGAACAACTTAAGGCCACGAGCACATTTCAAGGAGTCAATCCTGGCAGGAGTCATCCTAAGGGAAAGAACACATTGCCAGTGACATTTTGGGGAGAGTTAAACTACCAGACCGAGAAGATTGTGTTTGATGTGGTCGACCTCCCCCTGCCGTACAATGGAATCCTTGGATGCCTGGCCCTGGCCAAATTCATGGCGGCATCCACTATGCCAACACCTTGAAGATGCCAGGGCCAATGGGCATCATTTCCATTTTGTCAGACAAGAAAGATGTAATGATTTGAGTGGATAAGATGTACCGGGACGCAGTCGCGGCAGAGGCTGCTGAAGCCACGGTGCCCACTAGGGACAACAAAGGAAAGAAGAAGGATAGTAGGGACGCCGACAAGGAATCCGGGAAGCGTACCTCCATGGAGTGTGCCTCACCTGTTGATGACGTCTCGGGGCATTCCAATAGCAAGAGGACCAAGGCTGTTGCACCCCATGTGAAAAAGGTCCCTGCAGAGCTAGCTATCACTAATTGTACTTTTACTATTAGTGCCACCCTCAATGACAAATAGGAAAGCATGCTTGTTCCCTTCCTGCGGGCGAATATCGAAGTGTTTGCTTGGCAACCATATGATATCCTCGGTGTTCCCAGGGAGGTATCGACCACCACCTTGATGTCTGCCCACATGCCTGACCCGTCAAGCAGAAGGTTCGAAAGCAGGCCTTGGAGCGGCAACAGTTCATTGCCTAGGAGATCAAGAAACTTGAGGCAACAGGTTTGGTCAGAGGAGTACTACATACTACATGGTTAGCAAACCCACTGGTTGTGCGCAAGGCCATGGGAAATGGAGGCTTTACATATACTTCACGGATTTGAACATGGCACGCCCAAAGGACCCATTCCCCTTTCTGCGCATCGATCAGATTGTGAATTCCACTTTCGGGTGTGATTTTCTATCCTTTCTGGATGCATACTCTGGGTACCATCAGACATTCATGCTCAAGGAAGATGAAGAGAAGACCTCCTTCATCACCCCATGTGGCACATACTACTTTGTGTGCATGCCTTTTGGGTTGAAGAGTGTCGGTTCCACTTTTGCAAGAGCAGTCCAAATTGGTTTTGAGCCACAGTTGCACAGGAACATTGAAACTTATATCGATGATATTGTGGTCAAGACCAAGGACAAATCAACCCTCATCCAGGATTTGGAAGAGACATTTGCTAATCTGGGCAAGATCAACTCGAAGTTAAACCCGGAGAAGTGTGTGTTTGGCGTTCCCTCTGGCAAGCTACTTGGTTTCTTTGTGTCCCACCATGGGATCGAGGCCAACCCAGATAAGATCAAGGCTACCGAGCAAATTCAGGTACCCGAGACAGTTAAGGATGTGAGGCGTCTGACAAGATGTGTTGCCGCGCTTAGCATATTCATCTCCAAGTATGCCAAGTGCGCCCTGCCGTTCTTCAAAATTTTGAAGAAGGCAGGACCTATGAAGTGGACACCAGAAGCAGATGCATCATTGCAAGATTTGAAGACTTACTTGTCTTGTGAGTCCACTTTGGTTGCTCCCAAACCACATGAGCCATTGCTGCTATATCTGGCAGTGACTAATCAAGTGGTTAGTGCACAACTGGTGGCACAACAGGAAGTGGAAGAGATACTAACCTCGGAAGTTGTCCCACCCAGAGCAGAAAGAGAGAATAGCCCGACAAGCCTAGATATTGATCAGGACAAAGAGGAGCAGGGCGGCGAAGGCAACCCCAAGGACGCGTCAAGGAAGAAAGTGGTGCAGCACCCAATATACTTCGTCAGCTCCCTATTGCAGGGGGCTAGATCCAGGTATTCTAGCGTGCAAAAATTGATTTTCGGCCTTGTCATGGCCTCAAGGAAACTGCACCACTACTTCCAAGCCAACGAGATCATGGTTGTCACACGCTTCCCATTGTGAAGGATACTCCGAAACCCAGAGGCTACTGGCAGAATTGTGGAATGGGCATTGGAGTTATCTAGCTTTGGCCCATCAATGATTCAAAGAAGGGCATTGGCAGAGTTTATTGCAGAATCGACGCCAACCACTGATGAGGATGTGCTAGAAACAGTCATCCCCAGCAAGGAATCACCCCAAGAATGGATCATGTATTTCGATGGTGCCTTCTCCCTACAAGGTGCAGGGGCTAGCGTGCTTCTCGTTTCTCCCACTGGGCTCCTTACCGGGCTCAGGATACAACAGAGTATGAAGGGCTCCTTACCGGGCTCAGGATTGCCACAGAATTGGGAAATCAAGAAGCTGATCATTCGAGGAGATTCACAACTTGTGGTGAGACAAGTCAACAAGGATCACCAAAGTCCATTGATGGTGGCATACATCGAGGAAGTGAGAAGATTGGAGGAGCGCTTTGACGAATTGCAAACAGAGCACGTACCCCGTGCGGAAAACAACATAGCTGATCATTTGTCAAAGTGCGCTGGACAGACCTGTGGAAGTAGGAACTTTTGTTCTCCATCTTACTCATCCCTCCGTATCCCCGACAACAATGGCCAGAAATAGGAGGAAATTGGACTCCGGTAAGCCTCTCCTGGTAAAACCCCTCGGGGTTCCTAGCAGGGACCCTACCGAAAACAACTCCCCTTTGATTGCAGGGATGCACCCTCCTGCCGGGCCACTGGTCCCCACAATCGAGGGATGTGCTCCCATGAATGAGGAGGTGCCGCTGGTCCTCGTTGCCGAGGCTTGGGCTCCAACTTGGGCAAGGCACATAGTCCATTTCCTCCAAACTGGAGAACTTCCTGAAGAGCAAGAAGAAGTGGAAAGAGTAGCCCGGAGGGCCAGTATGTATCAGTTTGTTGATGACACTATGTACAGAAGAGGGCCTAATAGTGTGAAATTGAAGTGCATTTCCGGGAAGAAGGAAAGGAACTGTTGGTATAAATACACAAAGACATGTGCAGCTCCCACATTGGATCAAGGGCTTTAGGTGGGAAAGCATTCCGGCAAGGATTCTAGCTATTGGCCCACATCCCACGACTCGAAATAGGAAATTTGCCATCAGCCAGCTCTTTGCCATCTGCCAGCTGATGGCAAAGAACGTCTTTGCCATCTGCTTATAAAAAACAGATGGCAAAGAACTGACAGACGACAAAGAACATGGTTGCCATCAGCCAATTCTTTGCCATCTGCTAGTGGATGGCAAATAATCTTTGCCATCTGCCAGCAGATGGCAAAGAGGTTGGCAAATCCTGTGGCTGTCAAGCGTGTAACGGCGTACCAGCCCCACCTCTTTGCCATCTGCCAGCAGACGGCAAAGATTCTTTGCCATCTGCTGGCACATGGCAAAGAGATGGGGTTATTTTTTTCGAGGTAAAAAAACTGTGGGGTTATCCCCTCCCTCTCTCCCCACCCATCCAAGTAAAAAAAACGACGTTCGCATCTCATCCACACACCACCACCTACCTCCTCCCTCTCTGCCTCCCGCCCCTTCCTCCCACCACCATCCCCATCCCCCTTCGCCTTCCCCCACCACCTCGACCTCCTCGACCTCTACCTCCCCACTGACCCCTTCTTCGTCCCGCCCCTCATCCCCTCCCCGCATGCCTTCCTCCTGCACGACCTCACCGATCGTGTCGCCGTGCTCGAGCTCGCAGCCCGCGCGGCCGCCCCGCAGCCGGCGCGCCGCAAGTACACCTACGCGGCCACGGAGCCCGGCGGCCGGAAGGTCAAGTGGACGGCGGAGGAGAAGCCACGCGGCAGGGGCCGGGCGCTCAAGTGGGAGGCGGAGCTCGCCTCCCCCAACGACGACGGATTCGACCGCAAGTGGAGGTGGGAGGCCAAGTCCAAGGGTGGCGCCGGAGGCAAGACCAAGAGCAAGTGGGGCACCGAGATCAAGGGCAAAGGCTCGCTCGAGCCATGGTCGCATGCCTACACCTGGGAGGAGGACTTCACCGCCTCCGACGACGACGAGGATGAGCTGGAGGTCGAGGAGCGCAGGCCGGAGAAGCCCAAGAAGATCAAGGCCGCCGCCAAGGACAAGGAGGATGACAAGAAGAAGAAGAAGCCAGCAAGGACGTGCATCCAGATCGAGGAGATCCCCGAGGAAAACACCGCCGGCTGCGACGCCATCTGCAAGGTACGGTACTCAGCACAAAAGATGAGATTTTTGTGGGGGTTTTGGTTCTGTGGCCCGATCTGAACGAAATGTGTGATTTCTAGTAAAATTTCCAATAGATCCAAGTTACCTCTCACTGAATTTGAGAGAAAATTTGGAATTTTAGAGGATGCTAGTGTCCACACTCTAGATCTGTGCTTAGTACTAGCTACAGATTGACTGAACTCTGCTCTGAATGATATCAGCTTGAGGATTCTGCTCCCTTGCAATGCACTACTGTCATATGTGTACTGACCGCCTGACATTTGTCTCTCTTTCTGATGATGCAGGCCTTTGCCATGGGGAACGGCAAGGGGAAGGCCAAGGAGCTGTCGCCGCAGGATGCCGCGCTGCTCATCCAGATGAACTACAGGGCGCACCTCACCCACCGCTCCCAGGTGCTCAGCTGCCTGCGCGATCTCGCCCTCGCCAAGGCCATGCTCAAGGAGCTCCGGTCCCTCTTCTACAACCTCTCCTACAGGCGCCGCCTCTTGCATGACCACGAGGAGCACCAGAGGTTCTCCGAGAAGATCATTGTCTTGCTCCTCACTGTCGACGCACTCGAGGTGAGCTCCGTCACAGCCTGTTTACGATTGCCGATTGCTGATTGCTGATTGCCATTGCTGTGTTGTGGATTTGAAATTCAGTTACTGCATACACTGGTTAAGACTATTACTAGTGAGACAAAAAATAAATAAATGAAAGCACACAAGGATGATTACCATGCTATTTAGCTCAGCATCTATCCAACATATGTATGCACTTGAGATGATCACCATCAGAACCTGTTCGTCATTGCCATGGCTGTGTTGTGAATTTGAAATTTACTTGCTAGTTAGTACAGTACATTGTTGGTTTGAGGATGGTCTATCAGGGTTGTGTACATAAGTATGATTTTCTAGCAGTGCTTTAGTGTCTGAAGGTATTGGTTAGCGATGCATTATAATTGAAAAAATAAATCAAAGCTCACTACAAAGATTAAGATGCTATTGAACATCTTTTCTTGTCAATGATGAGTGTGCATGTATATGTGCTCAACCAAGTATGTAGTTCCTGTTAACACATATTGCACGATCACTTTTTCAATAAATATGGTAGAATGGGTGCCAACACTCCTCAGTATGGAGATAAATACTATCATATTGACGGGTAATGTTTGATCTGAGTTCTCAGTTGTATCTTCGGTGCTTCATTAGGTCCAAGCATGATAATATTCTTACATTCGGTACTGTTACTTGTTTCCCAGTTATATCTTATATCGAATGATTTCCATGGTAATGGTATATCAAGTGCAGGGGCCTCTGGGCATTTAAATGTTTGTTTCAGCTTATGGTAGCTGAACTAACAATACCGTGAACATTTCTAAGGCCATGCTGTTATTGAGTATAGTGAAGGAGAATGTAGTCTGTTTCTTGTGATAACTGAATTATTTTCTGTCATTGCCATTGCCCCTGTAGGATTACGCGTCTGTTCATCAGTTACTGTGTTTATAGCTCTCATTATTTTATGAACTCGAATAGCATGGGTTGCTTCCTGTTCTTGTGCTACCTTTCACTCTTTTATGAACTAACTAGCAGAGTGGCCCGCTCGATGCGCGGACTAGAACTTTACAAAGTTAAATGGTGAAATTATATTATTTGATTTATCTAAAGGAAAAATTAAAACCAAATGTGAGACATTTTTTAATATAAGACTTTGCAAACATAGTGTTTTAGTTCCAGAGTCATGTGCAGACGAATACTCAATTTAAATTTATAATTGATACTTTTGTTGTTCAAGTGGAAGTCCAAATCAATGGTGGGGATCTTTTATGAAGAAAACAATACTTTTGTTGTAAGATTTTGAAGAAAATAATATAATATAAGTGACTCTGGAAGTCTTCATAAAAGATCCCCACTATGTTTGCAAGTGGAAGTCCAAATCAATGGTGGGGATCTTTTATGAAGAAAACAATACTTTTGTTGTAAGATTTTGAAGAAAATAATTGGGCATGTCATATTATCCTAATGTCTTGATTAGTCACAAACCATGTATGTTATCTCTTGGTTTCATCTAGGTGATTCAAATGCTTAACATGCAGTTTCACCTACATGAATGGCACATAGTACGTTGCCAAAATGATGAGCATCACTTCCAGTTTCCTATAACTGCAAATTAAGCATCTGAATCACCTAGGGCAAATGTAGCATGAACCGGGTAGTGCTTTTATGTAACTTCTGTCCCATTGTATTCTTGGTTTTCCGAAGTAAGTACATACAAGGAGCAAGTACGTACAATGTTGTATGTCTCTCGACTATGATCCATAGAATTAGGCGCAGCCATCGTCTAATTATTTTTCATGCTCAAGCAATGTAATCATGCAAAAAATAGTACGTATCTTGTTTGTCAAATATGCGGCCAACCTGGAAACTTCCACCGCATAGCTGCTGCTCCTCCTTCTTATTAAGTTTCTGCATCGTACATGCCATTGGTCCATTTTTTTAAAACCTGTCGCTGGCCTTTTTTTATGGTGTGAGCAGAATTAAGAGATCTCTATGGAACTGCAGAATTAAGATTTTTTAACTTTACCCTCAATTAAGTATGTACATGATCAATGGAGCCGCGATGCCATCCTGTAATTCTTTTTCCGTTCTTAAGCAATGTTCTCATGGAAGAAATAGTAGTACGTATCTTGTTTGTGAAACATGCAGCCCAACCTGGAAACTTCCCCCATAGCTGCCGCTGCTCCTGTTGGTAAAAAAAGCTGCCGCTGCTTCGCACCTGCCGCACGTTGTTTTTTTCTTCAAGTTTACCTGCGGCTGGTCTCTTTTTGTGACGTGAGCAGAATTAAGAAATCTCTTTGATCTGTTGTATAAAGTTTTTTTTTACTTTACCTGTCCCTTATTCTTTTTGTGAGACGTGGACAGAATTAAGAGATTTTCTTTGATCTGTTGTACTAAGTTTTTTTTACTTTACCTGGCCCTTATTCTTTTTCTGTGACGTGGGTTAAATTAATTGATCTGTTTTGATTGGCCTAACAAAGAGATCTTTTTTTTTTGCAAATCAACCTGTGGTTGAGTTGGTTAGGTGGACAGTGGTATCCCCAACCCATCAGGATTCAAATCCTGGTGCTCGCATTATTCCTGGATTTATTTCAGGATTTCCGGCGATGCGCTTTCAGTGGGAGGAGACGTTCCCGTCGACGACGAGGCGCCTACGGTGACTTCGTAAATTTCAAGATGATATGCCGGCTCAGTCTCTCGGAGGTACTCATAGGGGTAGGGTGTGCGTGCGTGCGTTCATAGGGATGAGTGTATGCGCGTGTATATGAGCGCTTGTGTCTGTACTGATGCTCACAAAAAAAAACAAAGAGATCTTTTTTTTGACTAACAAAGAGATCTAGTCCAAGACGTTCTATAGATCTATAAACATGGTATGGGCCAAGGTTTACTTATAAAGATCTAAGGGTCATGTTTTGTTGATTAATAGTGGGTCCACCATATCAATGACCGGATGTTTCTGATTATTGTCGTAATTTCTAGCATATTTACCTTTTTATGGTTAACCCGTCAATTAATTTTATATATAAACAGATATGACTAACTCGTCAAAATGTGCAGTCCATGTGCGAGAAGAACGGCCAGACCCCTCCGCCGATGCCAGTCATTGCTCCGGAGGGCACGGTGAGTTTCATTTGAACGGTCATTAGTTACTAGTCTTCACATTTGAGTTGCATCATGCTAACGATACATTGGAAATAATCTTTGGTGCAGCGTAACTCCCGACAAGCATCGACCGATCCTTCTCCGTCTGCCACTGGCGCAACCGGTCCTACACCTACACCTACACCTCCGTGATGACGGTATGTTTCCCAAGTGTTTTGCTTAATAGAGTTTTGTTGTAATGCCATGTTGTATCTACACATATCGTGCATAATGTGTGTATGTTTGAAATGCATTGTATGTGTGGGATTCGACACCTAGTCGTGTGCCTTTGGTAGCCTTCCATGCAGGAAAATGCCTCCTAGTGCTTCCACTGAGCCATGGTAGTTCGCTACTGCTCTGGAACACATGGATTGACTGGCATGTTTCCTTCTTTGCTCCTGTGTCTGTCCCTACGGGGAAATGTCACGCAGTGTATCACCGAAGTCCTTGTAGCTTGCTACGACTTGGTTGCACTCGCTGATGACCGACACGTGCATTGCTGGGTCATGTATGCCTGAACCTGTATGTTTGTGCCACCTTGGTTCTATGACTAGTCATGTCGGCCCGGGTTCTTTGCCATATGGATACTAGCAACATAATCATATACTTAGCATTTTTTCCTCCAAAATGACTCAATATGCTTAGCTAGCTCAAAAATGACATAATAAGCTTAATTAGCTCCAAAATGACATATTTAACCTAGGATAGCTCTAAAATGACCTATACTTAGTATTTTTCCTCCAAAATAACTTAATATGCTTAGCTAGCTTAAAAATGACATATTTAACCTAGGATAGCTTTAAAAATGACCTATACTTAGCATCTTTTCCTTCAAAATGACTTAATATGCTTAGCTAGCTCTAAAATGATATAATATGCTTAAGAGATGACATATTTTAGGTCCTAAATGACTTCATATGCTTAGCTAGCTCCAAGATTCGGTCGAGCTAGTCACAAAGTGTGAAGCCTACCAGTTCCATTCCAAGAATATCCATCTGCCTACCCAAGCACTTCAGACAATCCCTTTCTCATGGCCGTTTTCGGTCTGGGGGCTCGATATCCTCGGCACTTTCCCCCGAGCTGCCAAGGGCTTTGAATTCTTGTTCGTTGCAATCGACAAGTTTACAAAGTGGCCGGAAGTAGCTGCTGTGAGAAAGGTGACTTATCAGTCAACTATCAAATTCTTGAAAGATTTGGTGTGACGCTTTGTGGTCCCTGCCCAGATCATCACTGACAATTGGCACCCAATTCACAAGCCACGCCTTCATGCAATATGTTCATGCCCTCTGAAGCAAGATCTCATTTGCCTCTGTTGCACATCCCAGAAGCAATGGACAAGCTGAGAGGGCGAATGCTGAAGTGTTGTGGGGCATCAAGACAAGAACATTTGATAAGTTGCTAAAATGCAGCAGCCAATGGATCGATGAGCTGCCGATGGATCGATGAGTTGCCGGTGGTTCTTTGGTCCCTTAGAGCGACAACAAATTGAGCTACCGGGCAGACTCCCTTCTCCCTATTCTATGGGGCAGAAGAAGTTATCCCCATGGAACTCATTTACGGGTCACCTCGAGTACTAACCTATGATGAAGTAGCGCAGGAACAGCACCGGCATGGTGATGTTGTGCTTCTCGAGGAGAACTGTCTCCGGGCTGCTATGAGTGTTGCACACTACCAGCAAGCCCTACATCGCTATCACAGCTGCAGGGTTCATGCCCGATGTTTTGAGGAAGGCGGCCTTGTCCTTATGCGCGTTCAGTCCACCAAGGGTACAAACCAGTTGTCGCCAAACTGTGAAGGCCCTTACCGGGTATTACGAGTCACCGGACCTGCACTACAAAAAAATACACTTCCGCGATGATACGTGTTTGTCACAGTAGGTCGCGTTTTTTGTCATGCATGTACATCCATGACGATTTTATGACAGAATCAAGATAGTCATACATGTGCTATCATAGAGGTGTTCCATGACATTACCAAAATTATCATAAAGGAAGTGTCCACTTCCATGACGATAA